TAGATTTATTATTTTTTCTGTTTCATTTATTTTGTCTTTCATATCTCTTTCCTTCTACTTACTTTGGGTTTATTCCATTGATCTTTTTCTAACTTCTTGAATGTTTTCCAACAAATATGCTTGTCTATAAATTGCCCTCTGTATATCTTTATCTATGTCTCAGGGTTTTGAAGCTTATCTTGTTTTTAACCTATATATATATATATAGAGAGAGAGAGAGAGAGAGAAAGATATATATAGATATATATATTATATATATATTTAGTTGTAGTTGGACACAATACCTTTATTTATTGTTATGTGGTGCTGAGGAGTAAACCCAGGGTGTGCACATGCTAGGCTAGTGCTTAACCACTGAGCCACAACCCCCTTTAATCTACTTTCTTATTGCTCTTTAATTTTATTGCATTGTCATCAGATAGCACAATCTATAGAATATCAATACATTCAACTGTCTTTAGATTCACTCTGAAGCTTAATGTGGGGTCGGTTTTTTAAATGTTCCCTATCTGATGGAAAGAAAGTATATATTCTTGATTTGGTTATGAAGATATTTTATATATATATATATATATATATATAATTTGAATCTTTGCTCTGTATTATATTCTCTGCAGCAAATTATATATCTTCTCTTGCCTCAGTTTTATCATCTTTAAACTGGATGATAGTATCTATTTCATACAGTTAAGGGCCTAACATACCACGCACCACATAAAATTTAGAAACTAGTAGTGCTTTTTAGCTATAAGGTTCAGTTTATTAATCTTGTTTTTCAGATCTTCTTATCCTAGATCATTTTGTCAGTTTAGTGCATCAGTTTCTGAGAGATGTGTATTAAAAATCTCTCATAATAATTATAAAGTTTCCCATTTTCCCTTACAATTTTGGTCATTTTGCCTTATGTTTTTGGCTCTGTTGTTAGATGCCTATAGGTTCACTATTAGAACTTTTTAATGAATGATTTTCTTTCATCAGGATAGGTTGACATGTTGAACTTTATCAGTTCATATTTGATGTGATTACTGGAATTAGACCTGTTTTGACAACATAACCAAGAATTAATTCTGTGTAACCAAATTTGAAACCTGGATGTGATTAATTGCACATCTTATATGTATTTACAGCATAGTGGTATGCATGCTATTCTGATTTGTTGTTGTCTCCAACTCCACCAAGCAAGTTCTCCAGGTTTATACAGAACATGTATTTATAGCAGGTGACTCGTAAAGCTGTTTGCTTAGACTACATTTGCTGCTAGACTTTATGGGAATTGGAGATCTCCAAGACAGTTTTAATTCCCCAAATACTGGAAACTAGGAGAAAAAGGTGAGCCTTTTCGCCTCATGTCCACATGGAGATTGTAAACTATCCAGTTATATCATTGTTTGAACCAAACTTATTGGGACTGGGACTAGTAGGTGTCAACTAACTGGACTTTAAGTCCAGTAGTTACATATAGAAAGAGTGGGTTAGGGCTATAAATAAAAAACAATTGTACTAAAGGATCTTAATTACTGGCTGTATGCTGTGACCTGCATGGCCGAACCCTAAAGTCCAGTGAGGGTAATGAAGGATTAAGAAAGACACACAGACATTTACAAAGAGAAAGCTGGGACCAGGTTGGACACTGACCTCTGAGGGAGGAACAGGGACCCAGGCCTAGCACAGCACACTTATTACATAAGTTTTATCATCAAAAGGTTTTCTGTGGGAAAGTTTCTGCAAAGCAGGCAGGCTTGAAGGTCACAGCGCTTGCAAACTATTATAATTATCTTTTATGCTCAGAATTCTTATCCTCGGCATCTGGTGTCTGAGCTCATGGTCAAGACTAATATAATGCTGTGCCTTTTCACAGAACTTCCGCAGACAGGACACCAATCTTGTCCTGCACCTTTGCACACAAAGTTCCCAGAGCGAAAAAGAGCCACAGCATCGAGACAGTCATAGACCATGATCCAAGTCACCGCTGTCCATAGTTGTAGGATTTATAAGACTTTTAAACTATATCTGAGGTTACTTTTACATTCACTTATAGTCTAGGAAAGGAGAAAAATGCTCCTGTAACTAATTCAAGGCAGAAAAACTCTTGTCTGTTTTGTTTATTGTTATATCCCCAAAAGAGAATGCTTGGCACAGAGTCAGTGATCAATAAATACTTGTGAGAAGATTATGATACTGCAAAATATTGTTGTGGGAACTTCCACAGGAGAGAGTCTAACTACAATGTGCCAGGTGGTAAAACCTCCAGGAGGACGTGACAGTCAAGTGAGGTCTTGAAGAATAAACAGATCTGGGGATTAAAGTCTGCACCATTAAGATTCCATCAGAGAAACAAACTAGGGATGATACAGGATACGAGATTAAGCGTAGGAACTGAGCTGGCATAATTGTGGGACCTAGTTACGTATTTTGTGTTCAACTGCTGCCTATTGGTCTGGTGGTGGGCCCAAAGTCAGCAGAGGGCCTGTCAGGAGGCAAGTAGGCAGAGTGAAGTGGGGAAGACCAAGGGCAAACTGCAGCTGTGTGGCTGAGCTCCAAGTGTATCATTCTCTGAGGCCAACAAGGCTCCAGCTGGAGGACACAGGTGGCCTGCATCCTTTGACATGAAACTAAGCACACCTGCAGCCCAAGACGGGGGAACCTAAGGACTCCTGGGGTGCTGCAGGCTACCTGCTGCCTCAGGGTCTGCACACACTGGTCCAGGAGAGGGAGAAGTCAAAGGAGGATCCAGAAGAAGCTGAAGAAGCTAAGAGTCCCCAAACTGCCCAGGCCAACAAGGTGGTGTGCCGATCAGTGCCTTCTGCCCTGCATCGAGCGTCCATACATCAGGATGTGACTGCTGCTTTACTTCCATCCTCCAGATTTAATGCAAAGTCACATGGCCCAGGAGTGTGCAGGGTGGAAGTTTTGAGGAATGTAGCTCAGGCTCAGATGAGTTGACCCAGGACACATTCACCCCAGAGGGCTCGGGTGGAATGCCACTGGCCTGGGAGACTTCTCACATAAACGGAATACACGGAGGCCATTCACTCCAGAGGACATAAGGTGGGCTCAGGGTCCTCCTGCTCTCCTGGAGTGACCCATGACATATCTGGGATTATTCATTTGGTGTTTGCTGAGTGATTCCTACAAGCCACACGCTATTCTAGGCATCAGGGAAACTGGTGGACAGAGCAGAGTCCCTGCCCTATGGGGCTTACCTTTCAGTGAGGGAAGCTGAGAACAAATAAGTAGACAAATAACATCACACTGTGAGATGTATTTTGGGAAAAACATACAGCAAGGTGGGAGAGAGACTGCAAGGGGTGGTGTTTTAGAGAAGGTGGTCAGGGAGCAACAATCTCATAGCACATTAACACCAGTGCTTGCTATGCACCTAATACTATCCTGGGGCCTTTATATGTATTGGTTCATTTAATTCTGATGACAACCTGAGTAATTTTCCCAAGATTGTATCACCAATAAGAACTGGTATTTGAACACAGGGAGCCTGCTGCTAGAGTCCAAAATCAGAAACTAAAGTGAGGAAGCAAAGAATGTAAGCATCAGAGCAAAGAGCATTTCAGGCATAAGGATCAGCCTGTGCAAGCCCTGAGGCAGGTCTGGTTGTTTAGAGTCTGGACATGTCACAATTGGAGGGGTTTATTCAACATTAAAGACAGTTGGTATACACATCTTAATATTGGGGTAAAGGTTGGAAATAGAAAAGTAAATTTGTCATAAATAACCGTGTGTCACCAATATCCGTGTGGCATTTAATGCCATGGGACTAGATGAGATTCTGAGGCCTGGGGCAGAAGAGGAGGGAGTATTATTGGAGGAGACTGAGAAGGAGGTACTTAGTGGGACAAAGGAGACCTAGAAGCCAGATACCCCAATCCTGCTGAGAGGTCCAGCTAGCTGAGGCTGGAGGATTGAGCACTGTGCAATGTGAATGTCACTGTTGACCTCAGCATTGTTGACATGTAGACACTTCAGTATGTGGAAAGGCACCAAACCATTTTGTTGCAGGTCAAGTGGGGTTGGGAGCTCAGGGTCCCACCCTCGAGCTCAGCTCTGCCCCTTCCTACCCAAGTGATCCCAAGACCCCTCTCCGCCAAGGTTTCATATAGTTTGAAAATCACATATGCAAGCTAACCAGTTCATTTATAGTTGGTGAGTGTATTCAGGAAAGGGAAGATGCTGGTTCAAGGTCACACTTCCTGGTTAGTGAGAAATCCAGGTTGTAGTTTATCACGGATGAGATCTGACATCAACAAATCTGCTCCTACCCTGTCTTAACATACTGTTTTCCATGGACAGTGGTTACCATTACAAGTGGAAAAATAAAAATTAAAAAGTCTTTTGTACCCTTATGTCTTTGTGGAAAGGAGAGAATGATAAAATGAGCAAATTCAACTGAGTGAGAATTCTGAAAGCTCATTGTCCCCCCATCATTTCTGATTCTCCACCCAGGTCCCATTTCTCAATGCTTTTGGCCTTTCAGCAAGTTCCCTGTTCTCTGACCCTATGTGAGGAGGTGCAGCACACCACAACCTATATGATGGGCCTGATAACCAAGACTAAGTTGCTCACTTTTACTGACCCCTGGCCGTGGGTCAGTAGTGTACTCTGATCCTCACCACAGCCCCACAAATCAGGCCCAGCAGGGATCCCTCTCTGCAGGCTGAAGTGGTTAAGGTCAGACTAGTCCCACGGTTCCACAACTGTGATGGTGGACCCTGGGCCAGTTACTTATTCTCTCCAACTTGAGTCTCTCCTGCTATATGAATTGCTTGGTAGACTGCAAAAGAGGACGCAAGCATAAGCACTGCCGTGGTCAGAACCAGGCCCTGTTCAGGCATGGTGGGATCATGGCCTCCTCCTTCCAGGCCTCTGAGCTGGGCACAGACAGTGGATCTCAGGGGGCTCTTTCTCCTCTGCTCTCTGGTTGAAGAAGCCAGGTGAAATCAGGAAACTGTGCTTAATCTCTTTGTGTCACTGTTTTTTTGCCTTAGGATCCATGTTCAGAGCAGAAGGAGCCCTCCCAGACACTGCCCAGAGAAGAGTATCAAGATAAGTTAGCAGCTGAAGAAGGAACCAGCAGCGACGAAGAAGAAAGGTACAGACCCTGAGCGCTCTAACGGATGAGGACTCAGATTTGGAAGGAGGCATTCATTCATTCCCTCTGTCCTCAAGTATTTATCCCTGCTCTTTGCACCATGCTCAGGGAGGGAATATCTTGTGTGTTGTTAGCATAGCTGTGGCCAATTACCACACCAACCCAGAGAGGTCATGGTATAGTTTAAGCTCAAAGAGATTAGGAAGCCTCCCCAAGATTCAGTCCTGGAAAAGTAGTAAGTTTTGTCCCTGGGGGGAAATGCCCCTCTGCATCACCTGTACTAGTCAGCTGTTGCTGCTATAACAAGCATCCTCAGATATCAGTGATTTTATAGGTGAGCTATCTTTATTCTTGATTCATCCAGCCTCTTAGGGCCTTGTGTACAGTTGGTGCTAGCTGAGGGTTAGGTGCTACTGCTTTCCTACAGACTAGAGTTCAAGTTTGTTCCATGTGCCCTCTCATCCTGGGATCCAGACTGAGGGATTAGCCCTATTAAGGGCAGGTTATTGTCATGGTAAAGGGAAAGAGCTCAAAAGGGCTAAGAGGAACATGCAATGCCTCTTAAAGATAAGTACTTTAAGAATTGCATTCTAGGGGCTGGGGATGTGGCTCAAGTGGTAGCGCGCTCACCTGGCATGCGTGCGGCCCGGGTTCAATCCTCAGCACCACATACAAACAAAGATGTGTGTCTGCCGAAAACTAAAAAATAAAAAAAAAAAAAAGAATTGCATTCTATTCCACACTTGTTCCATGGGCCAGCATAAGTCATGGAACCACAACTTACATTAATGAGCAGGGAAGCATTTACTTTTATGCATCTTAGTCCAGTGGGCTGCTTTAACAATATATCTTAGCTGGGTGACTGAGGAGAAATTTATTTCTTTTATATTAAAAGGTGGGAAATTCAAGATCAAAGTACCAACCATACAGTGCCTGATTGGGACACTCTTTACAGATGACCATCTTTTCCATCTTCTCAAATAGGAGAGTGGGGAGGGAGAGAGAGATCAATTTCCCATGTCTATTCCTATAAGGGCACTAATCCTATCATGAGGGATCCACCCTTGTGACCTAATTATTTCCAAATGCTCCATCAAAACTAGTATCAAATTGGCAATTAGAGCTTCAACATAGGAATTTGGGGAGATACAAGGTAACCTATAATGTACTTATAGCCACAACAAGCAGGGGAAGAGGACAGTGAGTATTTTCTGAGTAGATACAACATGAAACAGTCTGTTCCAGTATCTCGTAAGATTCTGATACACAGAGTCTAGGGTACCTCTCAATCATGTTATTTTGAGAACATGTGCCAGGTAATTCTGAGGACACCACAGTTATGTCCCACTGCCCTATACTAACACATGACATATGTGGGGTCCTGGCAGATGACCTGTATGCTCCTGCCATCTGGAAGTTCTCTAGGTGATTGACAGGCAGGGTAACACACAGTCCAGTGAACTCCCCAGCTCAGAAGAGTCCCATACACTCTCCAGCTTCTGTGTCAGTCTCTAGGAGGCACATGAGCAAAACAGTTAACAAGGACAGAATAGAGTCAGGCCTCCAGGTTAAATCCTGGCTCTGCCACTTAGTCTCTGGCAGCCATAAACCTTGTTCTGTGTAGAACTCCTGATACTGGAGGGAAAGAAAGCTCTCTTTCCCTGAGAACGCTGGCAGAAATTTCAAAGAGGTACCTAGTGGGTCCATCTGGGTGACCTGTATCTTCAAGATGGCCATTCTTACCATCCCACTTTGTTTGGCCAGGCACGTGTCATATGCCCTTCCCCAGGGCCAGCTGTACCCAAACCCCATGGACTAAACAGGGTCACCACTGAAGGGGGACAGGCTTTCCCATGACAGGATGCTGGGCAGATCAGCAGCATGTTGTGATCACAGCAGCCTTCTTTTTCTCCTATTGAGGCTATGTCACTGAGGAAGGACACCCAACTACAGGAGAATTAGGGATTAGGGAGGCCAGGCCCTGGAGGCTGTTCCCACAGATTTTTTTTTTTTTGGAGGGGGGTGGGTAGAAAAGCTAAGCAATATAAAAGAAGTGGGACTCCTTTTTGCATGTTCTGCAGTTACTTCCAGGAGGCATGAGAACTGGGAACAGACAACTGACCTTCTAGGCACAGCGGCTCTAAGAGAACAGCAGCTTGTCCATTGGCTTTGACATGAAGTGAGGGACAGCAGGTCACACTCTAATTTAAAGGGGAGTTGGGTAAGGTCAGTCAGCTGTGCCTGCTTTGTGCAGGATGGCAGGACAGTGGGATGGCGGGATGGGACCAGTTCCTTAGGATGAGGGGAATTAGAGGCAATGGAATGAGTACAGAAAGGGAAATTGCCACTTGTGGTATTCCAGGGAATAATAATAATGGTGAAATAATAATGTTTATTGAATGGTGAAGTATAATAAGCACATTTAAAGCATGAATCTATTTAATCTTCAAATGTAGATCCCATTATTGGGCAGGGGTTATAGCTCAGTTGGTAGAGTGCTTGCCTTGCATGCACCAGGCCCTGGGTTCAATCCTCAGCACCACAACAAAACAAAACAAAACAAATAGAGATCCCATTATTAAAGAACTTCATTTGGAAGATTTCTGAGGAATAGAAAAGTACAAAGTAACTTGCCTAAGTAACTTTTCCAATAAATGGAAAGATCTGAATGCGCTATCATTTGACTGAGATGTTAATTTCATGGTTGTATATATTTGTTTATAAATATTTATTTATATTAAAATTCACTAACATACACTTGCATTTCACTATATGTAAATTTCACTTCAATTAAACATTTAAATAATAATACATGAGCCCATGTCCTGGGAGGAAGTCCAGTCCCTTCCCCAGGATTTACCAGGAGAGCTCACCTGCTCCACACAGTGGCCCTGGGGGCCACCTGTCACTCTTGCTCTGGGCTATCCTCTCTGCCTTTCCAGCCTTCTCCTAACCTTAGGTTTGTTTCAGACCCAGGTATGCCCTGTTTTTTGCTCCTTAAACTGTATTTAGTACATCTTCAAAAAGCTTGAAGATAACCTAAGAGAATTAGAATGCAAAGAAATAGAACTTCTCTTTTTAAATATTTAATTAGTTCTTCATATAATGCTTACTGTGTACCAAACACTGTTTTAAGTACTTTGTAGATATTAAATCTATTAAGCCATATCACAATCCAAGTAAAAGATACAATTGTTGGCCCTATTATAGATGAGGCAGCTCAAAGTCCAAATAGCTTGAAGATCTCACTCAAGGTCACATAACTGGGACAACTGGGACATAGTCGCCCTGGAATGAGAAGCTGGGCAGTTCACCCCCAGCACTCAGGGTCTCAGCCATGTGGCTGTGCTGCTGCTCCCAGCATCCTGCTTTTCCTTTCAGGGTCCCTGTTGACTGTCTCCTCCTTAACCCCCCACCTGAGACCCTTTGCTGGGCCCTCTTAAGCAGAGACCTCTTCCTATGTCCTCCATCACAGCCCAGGCCCCTAAACCCCTGAACTCTGGTCCTCTGGCCTAATGTCCTCGCCAGGGGAAGCAAAACATCACCCTAGGCCATCCTTGTACATTGTCAAACAAGACAAACACTTAGCAGCCCAGTCCAAACATTTGAATTTCTCAGTAGATCAAAAATTCAGAACTGAGGAAGCTGGGAATGGGGGAGGGTCCCCTCAAAGGCATTCATCAGCGTCTTATCTTGAATGAAGAAACTATTGTGGCTTTCAATAGCCATTTGGGTTCATGCTTTCATATGTAGAGGCTTCTTTATTTTTTTTATTTTAATTTTTTATTGGTTGTTCACAACATTACAAAGCTCTTGACATATTATATTTCATACATTAGATTGAAGTGAGTTATGAACTCCCAATTTTTACCCCAAATGCAGATTGCAGAATCACATCGGTTACACATCCACAATTTTACATAATGCCCTATTAGTAACTGTTGTATTCTGCTACCTTTCCTATCCCCTACTATGCCCCCTCCCCTTCCCTCACATCTTCTCTCTGTAGAGGCTTCTTTATAATCCGTCAATTTATACCTGGGGACAGCCAGTATAAGTTATGAGCATGCTTTGAAAAGCGTAAAGTACTGTGCGGTTGTTTCATTTTCTTTCATATGAAGGAAAAGTTGTGAAAACCTTTAGACCATACAAACCTCTCTTTTGGAGCTCCCAGGGACCCCCAAAAGAACTCTAAGCTCTCAAACATTCTGACAGTCAGTCATCATTTATTAAGTATCCATTAAAATGGGTATCAGGTAGTTCCTGCAGAATCCTGTGCAGTAACATTTAGGATGTCTATGTCAGGTTGCTTTTTGAAAGACAAGATGTTTCTCACCATACCAACTACTCCTGGAGCCACCTCCTCTAGGCAGAGTGGCTGAGATGGTGTGCTGTGTCATTCTGAGCCCTAGGATCTTTAGTGATGTGGTCTTCATGTCTTCCAAGGATTGAAGTGCCCCTCAAGGAGAGAAGTGACCCACGACTTCCACTGGGCTCTTTGCTGAAGGAAAAGGCACCTGAAATCCAGCGTCTTCAGGAGGACTGGCAAAGCCAGAAGGCCAGGCTGCAAGCCCAGGTAGGGGACTTCCCATGGAGTGAGACCTGCCTCCTTCTTCAGACAACTCTGGGGAAGCACTAGGGCAGGCTGCCATTCAAGCTGGAGAGGGCATTAGAGTCCAGGACGAGGCAGGATTCTTGGTTTTGTTAATTTATTTATTCAAACTCTGCCCTATTCAAAAGCTCAGTGGTAGAGCAATCACGGTACATGTGCCAGGCCCTGGGTTCACTCCCTCGTACTGCCCCCCAAAATCCCCTACTGTGCTCATAGACACACTGTTGATACATCAGTGAACAGTGAATGTTATATATGGTATTTCATATATAAGGAACACACGCATTAGCAACAGTGGTGGGAATACAATAAACCGCTCTCCATATCCTTGGTTTCTCCAACCTTGAATTTAATCGAATACAGATGGAAAACAATTAAGAGTAAAAACTACTTCTGTACTGCACATGTACAGATTTTTATTTCTTGATATTTTCTAAACAATAGAGTTTGACAACTGTTTACATAGTTGCCCTTATTCATTGCATTTACATGCCATTGGGTATAGTAAGGAATGTAGGGATGGCTTAAAGTATGCAGGAGGATGTGTGCGGGTTAGATGCAAATTCGGCACTGTTTTATGTGGTATCCATAGATGTGCTGGATCTAGTCCCCTCCAGATACAGAGGGACAATTGTGTTTTGTGCTTTAGCAGAGGAGTTTGGAACAGACAGAAAGTACTAGAGTAAGAAATAAGCAAATCATGCAGTACCTTAGAAGGAGATGGGTCTTCAGGAAAGGAGCAGGAAAGGGTGGAGGGGCTGGAGTCCCCTCTAAATGACTCATGGGGAAAGGCCTCAGGAAGAAACAAGATCCAGAATCAAGCCCCTGAGGGAGGTGAGGGAGGCCACCTTGCGGGGAGAATGTTCTGGCCCCTCCTGATTTCTCTTAGAGGGTTTGTGTCCCAGAACATCCTCACTTTCCCTCATGGGTGGCTCTAGCAGAGCCCTCTGCCCCTGCCCTGGAGGACTTGCCACCCGGGTTCTTCTTCTTCGGCTGGCATTTCCACTCCTCAGAGTTGCCCCACACAGGAGGCTCAGCTAGTGAGAATGTCAGAAAGCTCTGGTTAGGGGGACAGTCCGGGAGGGCAGGGGCGGCCGTCTTGAGGCGCGCGGTGGCGGGCAGGTCTCGCAGATGCAGCGGGCCCTGGAGCAGTGCACCAGCAGCTACCGGGAGGACCTGCGCGAGCTCCAGCAGCTGTCGGACCAGGAGCGCGAGCGGCTGCGGCGCGAGCTCCAGGACAGCCTCCAGCAGAGCCAGGCCGCCAAGGCGCAGCTCGAGGCCTCTCACCAACGCGCCCTGCGAGCCCTGGACAAGGCCAAGACGCAGGAGCTCAAGGTAGGGGCAACTGCGGGAGCCAAGCCGTGCAGTTCTCAGGCCCCTGACAGGCCCCTGACGTGTCAGCCCCTGTTGCGCACCACCTGACGCCCCAGGGCCTTTTGTCCATTATCTCCAGCACCCACGTGATCACACAAGCTCACTATTATCCTATTACCTTTTCCATACAAGGAGAGGTTCAGAGAAATTCAGCAAAATTGCAGAAGGTCACATAGTAGTAAGGGGCAAGGCAGGGACTCAGACTTGGTCCCTTAGGCTTCTGGTGCCGCTTTCTCCTAAGGGCATGTGTCCTGGTAAGAACAACTTGCTTTCCCGACTTGAGCAATGTCGCGCATGAGGCATGCTGGGAATGTGAGCCCAGGCCAGCAGTGAAAGGGGGAGGGGAGCTCCACGCTGAGAAAGAGCAGCTTAGCATCAAGAGCTCCCAAGGCTGTGGGAAGCTGCCAGGTGGTGGTCAGCCCAAATGATGTTGAATCCATCAGGCCATCTAGGCAAAGTTCATCCAGCACCTTCTACCTCTAACTTTTTGGTTCTTTGTAATATATGTCCATATTGCCCTGATAAAAAAGCAAAACAACCTTTAAGAAAGAAAGAAAGAAAGAGAGAGAGAGAGAGAGAGAGAGAGAGAGAGAGAGGGAGGGAGGAAGGAAGGAAGAAGTGAGATAATGCGCTGGACTGCCTGACATTTACCAGGTACTCAAGTAAAAAAGTTCCCTCGCTTCTTTTATTTTTCTGTCTTTTTCCAATTTGGTTTGCAATTGCAGAACAGTCTGGTCAATGAGACGCTCTAAGGCTATCCGCTGTTGGGTAGCTCTGGCTTTCATGTTTGTCAGGACTTCTCCCCTCCCCTGGGGGCTGCAGACCCTAAACCACTGCAGAGGCAGAGGAAGCCTGAGGCTTTGCTCACCTGTAAGGGAAAGCTCCAGGGGTTCTGGGAGGCACATGAAGAAGGATCTGAGGCCCAGCCAGGGCAGAGGAAAGGGCACTCTGCTCATCACGGGCTCCAAGTCCTAGTGCTCGGAAACTCTAGAACCAGATTCAGGGATCTTCATTGCAGCTTCAGTCTGCATGGGGATGGTTCCAAAATGAGACCAAAGAGGTTAAGTGCTGATTCTGATTGGAAGGAGCCAACATCCAGCATTGCTGGTGCAGACTAGTAATTAAGAGTAAGCCATCTGGGTTCAAGCTCTGGACCTAATCACTTACAAGGTGTGAGCCAGGGCAAGTCACCTAGCTCCTCTGTGTGGGTCTCAGTCTCCTCATTTATAAAATGATAGATAATAGTATGTATCAAATGGCATGTTTGAGAAGATTAAAAGACATGATACATGTAAAGTACTTATTAAGACATGGCTAAGAGCTCAGTTTTTAAAAGGTCCACTCTTGCTACTCATTTATTTATTCTACAGATACTTATCAGGCGGCGGCTGTGAGCTGCCATGGTGCTGAGCGTGGGAGGTAACAGATGATTAACACCCTGTCCTCCTAGGACTCAGCGCCAAGGGCACAGGTAGCCACTAAAACAGACTGCTGTAATTTAGCGGGCCAGAGCCATGAGAGTTGTCCAGAGTATTTGGGGAGCACAGAGAAAGGAGACTTTATACAGTACAAGATGTGAGAGACAGGTGGAATCAGGACCCTTGGGAAGCCCCAAGGTGACCACAAAAAGGACAGATAAACTTCCCCATGGAGACTGGAGCTCTCACCGGAGATGAGTGTCTGATGTGATACAAAGTCTGGGTGCAGCACCCTGAGTGGTCATCACTGTCAGGGGCTTCTCTGCAAGACAGTGGGCAGCTGACCTGAATCCCTGCTGTCCCTAGAGACAGGGACATGGTCACAGAGTTAGAGATTGCCTCCCTCTTTTATAGCCCTGTGTGTTCCCACTTCCCTGGACATAAAAATTACCGATCAGCATTCTCTGAGCCTTGCAGCAAGTGTAAGTGCCAAATGAGGGAAGTCAGATGGTTTGAAAGCAGGAGGCCAGGCCTTCCTGTCTTCTCATTGCATAGGCTTGCCACTACAAGACAGAGTTTCCCATGGAATAAGACATCCTCCTGCTGCTGCTGGGGAGGAGCAGAGACAGAGCCTGGGAGAGCGGGCTCTGAGTTCCTGCTGGGTTCAGTAACTTGGCTGGAAGATGGCTAAGTTCTCCCCAACAAGAGACTTATGGATTCTGCCCCCAGGGGTCACATCCCCTACCTGTCTTCAGGCAGATCCTTTACTTTCTAAGACCCTTTCTTCCTTTATTAAAAGGAGTTGGGGTTAAAACTCCTGTATTCTCTTCTGTGTGACTTAAAGAAAGCCAAGTCATCTCTAATAGCCCTAGCTTCCTATTTTAACTGGAACTCTCTGGGTTGCAAAAAGAAAAAAACACAGCAGAAACTGTATTTGTTTCTTATTGCTACTATTAACAAATTACCACAAACTTGGGACTTAACACAAAACAAACCTGTTACCTGACACTTGTGGAGGTCGGAAATCTGAAAATCAAGGTGTTGGCAGAGCTGAATCCCTTCAGTAGGCTCTAGGGAAAGTCTGTTTCTTAGCCTTTTCCACTCCCAGGGGCTGCCTGCTTTCCTTGGTTCCTGGCCCCATCCTGCATCATCAAAGGCAGTCATCCAGCATCTTCACATCTCTCTCCCTCTCTCTCCTAAATTCCACCACAAAACCCCTGTATCCCTTTTATAATGACTCTTGCAATTGAGGCCCACAAGATAATTCAGAATAATCTCTTTTCAAGATCCTGAACCTAATCACATCTGCCAAGTTCATTTTACCATAAAAGGTAACATACTTAGTTTCCAGAGATTCAGACATGAACATCTTAGTGGTCTTTTCTGTACCTACCACAGGTGCCTCTGCCCCCTCATCCCGGGAAAGATAGAAGATAGTGTTTTAGTCAGCTTTCGCATTGCTGTGACCAAAATACCTGAACAGAACAACTGAAAGGAGGGAAAGTTTATTTGGGGCTCAGGGTTTCAGAGGTCTCAGTCCATAAATGGCTGATTCCATTGCTGTGGGCCCACAGTGTACAGAGACAGTATATCATGGCAGAAGGGGCTAGCACAGGAAATCTGCTTGGCTCGTGATGGGGTGAGGAAGCAGAGAGAGGAGGGGAAAGGGTCACAGAAAGATGCACCCTCCCAGGGCACACCTCCAGCCAGACCCTACCTGCCTATGGTTAGCACCCAGGCCGTCCATTTGAACTAAGTTGGACTGATTAGGGTAAAGCTCTCATAGTCTAATCATTTCACCTCTGATTATTCCTGCATCCACAGGAGCTTTTTGGAGACACCTCATGTCCACACCATAACAATTCAGTGCTTCTGAGTGTGTTAAATCTGTAGCCACACAGTCAGTGTCTGTACCTGTCCCTTTGTCTCATTCCCTTCCTCCTCCGTGTCCTAACACTAAATTCCCAATGAAAGAATTCTGATTGGGCCCCCTTGGAACAGATGTCTTCTCTGGTCCAATCAGCTGTGGATGGGGGTGAGTTCATGTGGTACAAAATGGCCAGTCCATTGCTAGAGCATCCCTGTAGCCTAACAAGCCCTCCACAATTGAGTAATGAACGCCCAATTTTATGCCTCCTTCCTCCTGCTTCTGCCCACAGGCCATGGAGGAGCGCTTGAAGAAGGAATCCAGCCACAGCCTCCAGATGCAACACCAGGCACACCGGCTGGAGCTCCAGGCCTTGGAGGAAAAGGCCAGGCAAGAGCTGCAAGAGGAGCGTGAGAGGATGCAGGCACAGCAAGCGCTGCTGCTAGGTACACCCCACCTGCAGCCTTCAAGTGCCAGGCCACCTGCAGGGGCCATGTGAAACCAGTGGCCAGCAAGGACTTGGGCCTAAAGGCATGCAGGCCAGAGCAACAACCTTGCTCTGCCTCCAACAGCTGTGCCACTTGGGTGCCCCACCCTGAGCCTCGTTTTCCTGTTCTATAAAATGGAGTCACAATTGTCCCTGCCTCATAGAGTAGTTATATAGAATTAAAGGAAATATTAGTTCTATATAATAGGAATGTCTTGCATATAATAGGAGCCCAGGGAATATAGATATTAACATCATTATTAATATTGAATGTAAGTCAGATCTCTGAGCTTTCCCAGATTGAGGGATTGCCTCAGCCTCTCACTGAAGGTTTAATCCAGTCTTTCCTGGTCTTCTTTTGTGTGCTTTCAGCATGATATTCAGCCCGTCATCTGTTTCCACATCAAAAACCACTCACAAAAGAATTCTGAAAGTTAATGGAGGCAGCGAAGAACTCTGGAGCCAAACTTCCCAATCCAGCTCCAATACTGATTTATATGAGTAAATTCCTCCTGGTTTTGGTCCAGATCCTATTGGGGTGACACACCATCTCCTGCCTCCATGATCCAGTCAAGATCCCAGGCCCGTGGGATGGAGAACCTGCAAATGCTTTGTCTCAAGAGTTGATATAAACTTCAAGATTTTCAACTTGAGACCACTGACCCCAAAGGAAGTCCCTGGGTCCTTTGATAATTCCTTGTTCTTCCCGAGGCTTCCTGATGTGTGCTGAGACCAACTGCTGCCTCAGGATTGGGCCCTGGGCTCAGCCATCCCACTCTCACCTGCTACCCATCCTACCAATGAGCAGTGGCCAAGCAGGTGGTTCAGACTAAAGACGAATCCCCACTCCACCACTTAGCTGTGTGGCTCTGGGCAACTTACCCCAGGATGTTCATCATAAATGGAGCTTAGATGAATGGGAGCAGAGGATGTGTGTGTGTGTGGGGGGGTAATATGCACCAGAGAAGATGGTTGTGGGGCTTAAATGAGAACAGTTCTCAAAGGGTTTACAGCATATTTAGTGCTCCATACATGTTACTCTGTTTTTATTATCTTGGAATAAGTTCAGGAGACTCAGCCTGAAGCCTTCAGCAGCTACCCACTCAACCCCATCCCAAAGACTGTCCCTGCAGGACAGACTTCAGCCATGACCGTGACCTTTTGCTGCTCTTCTTTCTGCAGAATCCCTGGGGCAGGAGTTATCAGAGCAGCGAGCTGTGTGCTCTGAGCACCAGAAGGAGCTGGAGGCACTGCAGGCTCAGCTGAAGGCTCTGGGCAGCTTGGGCAGACGGCAGGCCACTGGCCCATGTGCAGGAGACAGCAAGGACCCTGCCATCATCACAGAGGTCAGTGCCTCTGCCCCACCATAGCCTACCCCACCCTACCCCATTCTGCCCTCCTGGAGCAGCATTTGGGCCACAGCATGAGCCCATGGACAACAGGCACTGGTACTGGCTCATTCCCCTGCCTGAAATGGCAAGACTCTTCTCCCCAGATCTGGGGGGATATTTGGTGAACTGACAGACTTTCATCTTTGAAAAGCAAAAAATAGTGCTTAAGTGCTGCACATTATTTGTAATTCAGGCACAGTGGCATCTCAGGGTGTGGTGCCAGACACCTCCCATCCCAGACTACTAGTCTGGGTTACTCCTTGGGATATGCATGAGAATTTCTTAAAACCCTCCCCAGATAGACTCCTCATGTACACCTCGCTGTTTTCATTGAGGTCCAACTTTCTGCCTGGACCTTGCCCATCAGCCCCTTCCCTGCATGTCCTTAACTCCTATTCCAGCCAGGTAGCACAGGGACCTCCTAACAGTCCAGGCCCCTCTCCTTCAGCCCTTTGCTAGGCTTTGGATATTTGGTTAAAAGCCCAGAACTACTTTGTGAAAAGCCTTCAGTGGCTTCCGTAGGAATAAGCTCCAAATGCCCCCAGACTGACATTGAAAAGCCTCCACTGGCTACAGCCTGTGTCTCCAGCCACGTTCCCAGCGGGTCCCTTGGCATCCGCACCATCCCTTTGTCCTCGGAGCCTGTGAACTCCAGACTGTCATGCTTGCCCCCTCTTCTATCCAGCTTACCCTGGGTGGCAGAGGAAGGGCCACGCGGCCTGGAGTGGGGCGGGGGAGCTTCTCCTGCACACCCAGACCGCTCCACCCTCAAGCTCCTGGAGAGCTTACTGTTGGCACTCCAGACTACTGTGGGCCCTGTTAGGCCCTTAGGTGGGGAGGCCCTCCAGGTGGAGGGAATGGCAAAGGCAAGCAGCAGGCAACAGGTGAAGTAAGTGCCTTGCTTGTTTGGATGTGAGCTACATTCGTGGTTCACCAGTTTTAAACTCTTTGCGGGCCACACCTGGGCGGGGGCTGCAAGCTGGGCGGGCACGGACGGGCCTCCATCTTCTTGCAGGGCACTGGCCTGTGGTGCCTTGTCTACCTTTGCAACCCCTAAAAGCACCGGTTTGGGTTTGCTTCTCTAGGATGGGGGCGGCCCGGGCCAGGCCATCTCCCCTCCGGACGTCGCCGAGCAGGGGCAGAGCGAGGGCTGCGGGCTGCAGGAGGAGAGCTCTCAGCTCAGGGACGCCTTGCTCCGACTGCGCGCCGAGGCCGAGCAGCACCAGCAGGAGGTGCTGCAGCTCCGTGAGCAGCACAGGTGGGTCAGAGCGGGGCTTAACTGCCCCTCAGGAGCAGGAGATGGGAAACGCCCCCGCCCTCCAAAAAGACTCCTTAATACCTTAACAATCCGGGATGTTACTCCTTTGACCTCTGCAAGGTACTGGTGTTCTGGGAATCCTAGATCTCCAAATAGGATTTGCCCCATAGGAGAGGGAACCCCATGTCCCTGCAAACCACGGAATTCATCAGACCTAGACTCATACCTAGAAGAAGACCCCAAAAGTGTTCTCAGATCAGGCCTTTGGAGAAAGTATGGTGGGATAGTTCAAACCGTGCTGTGCACTTTAACTGTGACATTGATGAGTCAGCTGATTTCTCCCGACTGGGAGAGGGGTCCTCATCCGAAAAATATGCCTGGGGCAGTGGTAGGGTGCAGCGAGGTGTGTGCAGAGGTGGTTCGTGCCAGCATGGAGGAAGCACTGTGTTGGTTCTTTGTGGAGGTTAGTAACTAACTTATCAATCCTGAATTCACTGCCCTTTTATCCCTGTTGGAAAGTTTTTAATACAAATCCAATTTCTTTAATAGGACTTTTAGCAAGACTTTTTAGTTTCTTTAAGAATGAACTTTATCAATTAATCTTTCAAAAAAAGTGGTAGAGCACGTTCCTATCAGGCACAAGATCCTAAGCTGAACCTCTGGCACTGGGAAAAATAAAATAAAATCCCCTGGAACCTTTGTTGAGCATATATTACTGGGTTCTATCCCTACTGTTTCTGATTCATTGGGGCCGGAGTATAATTAGATTTTCAGTACTAAAGGAGATGCTGCTACAGAGTCACTATATCCATCTTGGGTGTGAGTCCTTCGTTTCCCTCTTCCTGCAATAAACAGATAGGGTGAGGGAATTTTCCAGAGGTTCCAGAGTTCCTCAGGACAAGGGATGAATCCCCCTTTTTCTAGGCAGAAGCATTGACTGAGGTTAACCAAGGGAGAGGTGTCCTGTAGCCTCAGGGAGCTCTGGGTAACATGGGTTCTCAGGCAGAGATGCCCGCAAAAGAGCTTTGTTAAAAACACCCACTCTGGCCTCCCCTAGTTGCAGTAGAGCTGAGGAAGGGCCCTGGTATCCGGATGTGGAAAGAGACCCAGTTGTTCTAATGCCCAGAGGAGGGAAGCTGCCACCAGGAGAGGGGCGTCACTGTGAGTCCTGTGAGAGGAGGAGGGTTCCAACCAGGCTCCTGTGGCTGTGAAGTAACTCAGGCCCCAACTGGGCCATGGTCCTGAGACCTGGCCCCAAGTGAGCAGCAGACCTGAGGCTCATCTGAGGGATGGCCACCAGCCCACCTGGTGGGACACCTTAGATTCAGATAGTGCCTCACCAAGTGACCCTGGGCAAGAGCCCAGAATAAGGAAGTTGGGCCGCAGTTGGGACTCCGAATCACTCTGGGCCTACCACCCTTCAAGTGAGGAAAGGAAGAGATCCTCTCCTGGGAGTAAGTACAATTACATGGAAATTTGCATGTCCTTTATCAGAGTGAATTACCTCCATGGCTCACCTGGGGATCCCTTAATACTCCACCTTAGTTTTAGGCAAATGGTAGCTAAGGGTTGAACATGGGTTTTGTGCCATGGACTGTTCTAGACATGTATTAATGCAAGTCCTCCTGGTAATGACCCTCATAAGGTAGGTGCCACTGTCACCTCCAGTTAGCAGAAGAGGACACAAATTAGGAGCAGCTTGCTTGAGGTCACACAGCTAGTGGGGAGGAGGCCATGATGCAGGAAGCCTGGCCCCAGGTGCTGCTCTTACTCCATCCCGCGCTGCCTTTCCACCTGGACTGGGGATCTCCAGGTCTCAGAGTCCCAGGGCACTGGGTCTCCCCAGCTGCTCCAAGAGAGGGGAATGTTTCCTGGGCTCTCCTCCAGGTCTGTTCCTCACCCTTTTCCTCTGAAGCCTGCCTCCTGCTCAGGCTCTCCTTCATGGATGCCGGAGTGGGAGAGAGCTGCAAAGGAACCCGTGGACCCTACAATTCAGACCCAGCTCCTCTCATGAGTGTTTTGATTTTAGATTCATAACTTCCCTCTACCCAGAGTCACCTAAACCATCCCACTTGGTGGAGTGTGGAGGGGCTGGCTGTCCCTGGAGCTGGAGTGAGCCTGGCTGTGCTTCTGTCTACCCAGGATGCTGGAGGAGGACCAGCAAGCCCAGAGGACCAGGGAGGTGGAGACGCTTCGCCAGGAACACAGGAAGGAGATGCAGGCCATGGTGGCTGATTTCAGTGGAGCCCAGGCCCGGCTCCAGGCCAGGCTGGCGGCCCTGGAAGCTGAGTAAGGAAGACCCCGGGCCCCAGAGAGGGAGACACTAGCAGATGTACCATTTATGAAGGGGACCATCCTGGTGTCCCTAGGTTTTCCTAGTTTTTCCTGCTAGAAAACCTCTCCGTTCCTGGCAGATGAGGATGGTGGCTCTTCATCTTATAAGGCTGCAGGGCACTGGTTATCCGAGAAAATGAACACTGTTTCATGGGCCTGGTTTACCCCTTACACTTGGAAAAAAATATCAGAAGGACCTGGGCTACATTTTTGTGAGTGTTTGCCCTATTTGAACACACATCATCTCATTTAATGTTCACAATGGGGAAACTGTCCTCCCTCACCCCCCAGATGAAGAAAACACAGTCCCTTGCGCATGTCTACGTACATTCATTTATTCATTCAACAAGTATTTGTTAAGGGCCTACTGTGTTCTGTGCACAATTTTAATCTCAAAAGTTGTAAGAGGGAACAAAAGACTATGCTTTCATGGTGCTCACAAGTTCCAGGTGGGGATTCAGATAAGAAATAGGCAAATACTTAACTTCATAGCAGATAGTGAAAGTGCTAGAAGACAAGATAAGTGTACAGAGTGACAAGGATCATCTGAGAGCCAGTCTGAAGGAACAAGTACAAAGGCCCCAGGGCCTGTGTCACATGACTGGGAAGAGTCAGTTGGCTGGTTTGGGTGAATGGAGTGAGAGTGAGTGCTAGGGAATGGCTGGCTGAGATCTGCCCTCTACTGGAAGGAACTTGTGTTTATAGTCCTCTGGGAAGCCCTGGGAATGGAACGTCTGATTTACCTTTTAAAAGAGTCACTTCTAGGGCTGGGGGTGTGACTCAGTGGTAGAGCGCTCATCTAGCACATGCAAGGCTTTAGGTTCGATCCTGAGCAACACATAAAAATAAATAGATAAAATAAACGTATTGTGTCCAACTACACCTGAAAAATAAATACTAAAAAAAAAAGAGGCACTTCTGGTTGCTGAGAGATGAGGCTAGGGGTCTGGGGTGATTGATAGGGACACCATTTAGGAGAATATTACTATAATGCAGGTGCAGGTAGGTGAATCCATTTGCCCAAGATTATACAGCCCTAAGTAAATAAAGAGGTCATCTGTCTGGCCCTTAGCCTGCACTCTTAGAAACTGGTCTCCACTGTCTCCAATGCAAAAGGAACCATCCAAAAGCTTCACTGAAAGGTTTTTCCAGCCACCATCTATCTAATGGGCACTTGTCATGTGCTGGGTATCCGTTACTTCATTGAATTCTCACAACCACCCCATGGTTGAAATACTATGCTCAGGGTAACATAAGAAGGAAAAAGTAGCACCAGGATTAGAGCCCAGGTCAGCTCATCCGAAAGCCCCAGGCCTTAGGGGTCCTCTGCAGCCCCAAACCTCCCTCTCCCCTCCCCCCTCTCCCCTCACCACAGGAGAATCTGGCTTCAGAAGACTGGCTTGTGCTGCACCTGTCTGCCAGCAGATGGCACCAGAGCCATGTCAGCATCCAGGGGACCTGCTGGCCTCCCAGTGGGTAGTGGCATTTTCCTGCTCAGACCCAGCTACATCCCAGTCTCTTGAAGCCTGCTTGAGTGCAGCGTTTATGTGCACCCATGGATCTTTAGTTCCTTGCCCTGCAGCCTTGGGAGAACTGACAGGGGACATACTGGGAGATGGGGTCCTGGGTTCTGTACCTAACTCATGAGTGGCCCTGTGCCAGCCTCTGCTGCTGTCCTACCTCAGCTGGCCAGGCTCAGCACATGCCAACATCCACCTGGTGTCCACTGGGCATCCCTCCTGTTGAGTAATCACTGTAAAGGGGACTAACTGCCTGCTTTGGACAGACTGAAAGATGCGGGAGAGAAGCCAGGAAAGGGAGCGTCCAGGCCTGAGGACCTACAGCTCATAGGCCGTTTGCAGACCCGCCTCAAGGAGAGAGAGGAGATCATCAAGCAGCTCACGGTGAGAATGCCAGGGCCCAGCAGACAGCAGCAGGCCCCGTGCCCATGTACCTAGTGGGACATGGCTGAGCTGTCCAGGAGCAACCCCCACTGGGTGCCCAGCCTTTCTCTGCGTGCCTAAAATCTTGACTTGCAAAGAATCCTTTCTTAAACAGAATTACTCACTAATTAAAAATATTAGTAGAGGAAAACAGGAGGCAAAGAAAACCCACTCTATTCCCAAGTCCAATGGCATTTGCTTCATGTTGAATATTTTTTGTAGTACCAAACAATTTTTATTATTGATCTTTCTGTTGTAAAAATAACCACCTGTTTCTTAGTTAAAAAAAAAATTCCCTTGATCCTTTGAAAGTAAGTTATTTCCAACTCCCTCTGATTCTATATCCTAAAGCCACGAAGACCTGATGGTCAGTTCTTTAAGTGCCCCTTCCCTTCATTTAGTCCTGGACACCTGCCTCACTTCTTCCAACTCTGACCAATGACTGAAGATTATATTAATAAGAAATTACGACTCACTTGCTAAGTGTGGGATATTGTGGTTATGATTTTTGTTAGAAAAAAAGAATCCTTAATCTTTGAAACACTATTGAAGTTTTTACAGCTGAAATTAAATGACAACTGGAATTTGCTATAAGAATAATATAGCTGGAGAGAAAAAGTTAGATGACATACATAATAATCCACCTTGGCCCATTATAGTTATAATTGCTGAAGTGAGCGATGGATCTTATTGCCCTCTTTACTTTTGTGTATACATCTATGATACAAATGTGAAATAAACGGTAGTGAGGAAAGGAGCCGAGATCTCTTGGGCATTCAAGGGTATTCTCTCTCTACATTAGATTTCAAATACTGAGAATACTTGCTTGGCATAAATTTGCTCTTTCCTTCCCCAAAGGACCCTGGAAGTAAAGGGCATTCCCTACAGCTCCAGCGGCTGGTAGCTTAATCACCAACTGCCCTCCTTCCCCTGGCCTTGCCTTCTCTCTGTGTCCTGCCCTCCCAGATGTCTTCTTTCAAGTCAGGCCCAGTGCTATGTGCTCAGGCCCATTTAGACTTGTTGTATTGGTTTTTCAGGAAGAGAGAAGGTTTCACTATGCAGCGTTCCCTAGCACGATGTCTCATCGGAATCGGTCCTTTTCTTTCAATCCTCACCCAGGGTATTTGACACCTTCCATGAAGGTAAGGTGGATCTACAGATTTTAATGCCTCATACAGTCTGTTGATTTCTTTCCTTCTAAAGGAAACTGCAGCTAGTTGATGTGCACTAGCTGCAGTTTCCTTTAGAAGGGGAAGGTGTACATTGAGAGGAGCAGGCATTGGCAAAAGACCCACAGGAAATGGTCCATGTCCTAACAAACAGCTTTTATATCTGGGTTGGGCAGATTATGTATGGTTTTTACTTCCCATGGGCCTTTGTATTTTTCAAATTTTCTACAGTAAATATGTGTCACTATTAATAATAGTCCTGTCTGGGTCATGGGAGAGAGGGGAAATAGTAGGAATTTTCTACTGCTTTCTTTCTTTACTTTTTCTTAAATATTTCTTAGTTGTAGATGGACATAATAGCTTTATTTACTTATTTATTTATTTTTATGTGATGCTGAGGCTCAAACCCAGTGCCTCACACATACTAGGAGAGCACTCTACTGCTGAGCCACAACCCCAGCCCCTTCTTTATTTCTTTATGATGTTTTTGGAATATGTAATGATGAGCCTGTTCACATCCAAGTCTCTTATCTGCTATCACAATATCCTAACACTTCTAAAGAATTAGTATTTTTTTACAGCTCATAAAACAATAAACCTAAACTAACCTGAACTGATGAGATCTTATTTATGGCTTTTCTATATTCTTACTATGACAAAATATAAATTTCACTAAGGAGATATTAATATATTTGAGTACAGGGTGTGTCCAGCTAATATGGGTGGTACATGGTCTCTAAGCTCTTAAAAAGTATTACAGAAATTTTGGATAAAGAAAACTGTGGACTTACATGTTCTTTAAAACATAAAATAAAGTGAAGAAAGGAGATTTAAAGAGCTAAGGATGTAGCTCAGTGGTAGAGCATTGCCCAATATTTTTGAGGCCCTGACTTTTGTCCCCAGAACTTCAAAAATAAATAAAAATATTTAAAAGTAACATGTAAGTATATCATGAAAGTTGTTGCCTCTTTTCCCATTATCGCTTTGGTTGGGTGGGCCTTCTTTACCTTTACAATAAAGCCTTTTGTGGGAAGCACTAACAGAACTTCCCTCCAATACAAACAGAAAAAGAGAATGGAGGAAGTGCCCAGTCGAGTGGTGAGCGTGCCAAACCTCGCCTCCTACGCCAAGAACTTCCTCAGTGGGGATCTGAGCTCCAGACTTAATGCGCCTCCGTTGACCAAGTCACCCAGCTTGGACCCAAGCCCCAGTTGTAGCCGGCCTTACAAACCCACCCAGTCTCTAGATGCTAAGACTGCCACAAGGTAGGGGTGCAGAGGCTTCATTGCAATTTTTCATGGATGGGGCAGGGTGGGGAGTGTGGAATTAGGGATTCTTTCTGGCACATGCTAAATACTCCACATTTGGGCAAATATAGAGTAGCAAAACCAGCCCTGTCCTGCAGAAATAACAATTAGCCAAACAGGAAGATTGTGTAAGAGAGGGAAATTATGTCAGTCTTTGGAAAGGGTACTATTTCTGGTTCAAATTCCAGAAGGTCCTTCTTTTTGGGGGGTGCGAGGGGATGTTACCTGGTATTGAACTCAGGAGCACTCAACCGCTGAGCCACATCCCCAGCCCTATTTTGTCTCACTAAGTTGCTTAGCGCCTTGCCATTGCTGAGGCTGGTTTTGAACTTGTAATCCTCCTGCCTTAGCCTCCCAAGCTGCTGGAATTACAGGTGTGTGCTAGCCCAGAAAACCTTTTTTAATGGAATCACTTAGCTGAGAACTCTGGTGTGGGTTACATAGAGGAGGTCTGTATTTAAAATCTGGTCCTCATGTTTTTTAGCTGTGTAGTGTAGCCCTGGCCAGTCACTTGACCTCTCTGGTTCCCTGTATTCCCACCATGAAAATGAAAATCATAGTTAGTACCCTCCTCATCAGACTGATGTGACACTAAAGGAATTAACACGTAGGACATGTTTAACAAAGACCAGACACAAAAGGGCTCAGTATAATTTCACTATTATTATTAAGGCTATTTCCCAAGATTTATTGTATTATTTTGGAGTTTTTAGGCCTCTAAATCTGTGAGTTTGATTGATTGTGCATAATGATCAGATGCACCTTCCTTATCTTCCCTTGTTTCTTGCTTCTGAAATCTTTCACACACTTCTGATCTTCCTGTGTTTACTAATTCTCTTTCCTCTCCAGTCTTGCATTCAAAAGGCACACTTTAAACTCTGGGCTTAAAGTTTGCATTTCAGAAAGGGCCCCATCTAAAATATCCTGTCCCAGAAGCCCTGCCTGCCTGCTGCCCCAGGGCTGTCTGGACAGATGGAGAGGCTGAGAGCTTTTGAGTGTGGCGCTGGAAGGAGCCCCTTGCTTTCCCTATATGGATCCAGCCTATTTTCCAGCTGTGGAAACCCAGGCCCAGAGCCTCCAAACAACTGTTAACCACCAGGGCCAGTCTTTGACTCTGGCCATGGTTTTTTCCTCATTAATCTACACTTCTGGGCCGGACATGGTGGTGCAGGCCTGTAATCCCAGAGGCTTGGGAGGCTGAGGTAGGAGGATCCTGAGTTCAAAGCCAGCCTCAGCAAAAGCCGGGCAACTCAGTGAGGCCCTGTCTCTAAATAAAATACAAAATAGGGCTGGGGATGTGGCTCAGTGGTTGAATGCCCCTGAGTTCAATCCCAGGTACCTGCCACCACAAATGCACTTCTGTTTAAAGCTCTTCTGTTGTTTTACATGAAGCGTCACAAATGCATAGAGGCTCAGAGAGGCTGTTAGAAAACCACTTAAAACGTCTGAAGGAGTGAACTACATACAACCAGGTGTACTGGGATTGGTGACTACTATTTCTCCTTTTTAATCCAGTAGGCTAATTTCAAGGCCTCGCTGAGATGCTAGAATACACTAGACAGCTGGTAGTGCTCACAGTGTTCTGCTGACCTTTTTTATACTTTTTTACAATTAAACTTACCTAATTTCTGTCTGAAATAAATAATAAATGTTGCAAAATACACCTCATTACGGTAGTAACCACTAGCTTTAAGGAGACAATGGAGAAGCAAACAATGGAGAACCTTGTTTTCAAAATAGGAACTGGACTTTCCCTCCCCACCCCATTCCTTACAACCTGTTTCCAGCCAGGAAGAGGTGGTCTCGGCTGGAATGTTTCCTTGGAAAGGTAAGGGAGCATCCCACTGCCTACTGAATAATTTCAAAAATCACACAAGAAACTTCTGTTTGTTTTTAGGACACAAGATGGTGAAACAGCCCAAGCCAAAGAAGCCCAGCAGAAACAGGGCTCCCCACACCAGGAGTGGTTTACCAAGTACTTCTCCTTCTAAACTCAGCCTTAAGATACCTCAGAGAGGCTGTTAGAAAACCACTTAAAACGTCTGAAGGAGCGAACTATAGCCAACCAACCAACCAAAACATTTCATACTGTTTCATTGTGATCCAGGTTCACTAAAAAATCTTGATATTAAAGATAAATCAAACCAATGTTATTAAAAAGCACCCATAGGAAAATGTTATTAATGTTCCAGTGATCTATACTATTTGTATTTCCAGTGTCCATGACATTGTACTCCACTTTGTGGGCTGGCAGACTTTGTGGTTTCCATGGTCTATTTTAAAAGTGGTTTCATTTTTCCTTAGGATGCTAGTCATCTCCACTTGAAAAGCTGCTTTTTATGTAAAATGATATTATTCCAAAATACACATCCAACCTCAATAGGAAGAGGAATAAAAATAAAGTTCAAAACAGGAAAGTCAATAAAAAAGAAAAAATATTGACCTATTAGGAATGAACCACAGCATGTGTAGGTTGCATGTTCTGACTTCCTGGGTCTAGGACAGGCAGCAGATTACAGAGGGGTTAACACCTACCTCAGAAGGGGCTTTACAAGATTAAACAATGAGTGAAGACGCCCATCAAGAATTGGAATTTTCTGAGTAGCTGTGCCTTGCCCCGCCAAACATCTGTTTCAATGACTGTCCTGTCAACTTGTTATTTTGGAAAATTTCTAGCCCATTTGATCTCTGAAGTCAAAGATCTCCGGAATCCCTGGTCTTTGGGTTTGGGCCATTTGCCTCATGATGTGTTGCTGCCCCCTTGCATGGACTCTCAGTAGATCAAAGGGTACTGAGAATGGCTGCTCATGGTGCTGACCTTGCTCTCAGTCCACATGCATTATCTACCCTCTGCAGAGCAATGTGACTTGACAAAGACTCAATGCAAATTTTAGTGGGCAAAATATTTTCTCAATCCTTTGGTGCTGGCCCAGTAAGTGGCCTAAACAGATGTTAACTCTATGCACTGTCAAATCTTTGCTCTTTGAATAAAACTTTAAACAACTAGGCAGTAAGAATGGTTGTGCTGGTATTGTTTTTCCTTAAAAAGATAAAACTGAATGAAGAGAGAGTTGAAAAGTAGGAAATTCACTTTAAGCTCAGTCAGAGCATCAACAAATAAAAAGTGGCCAGTAACACACTTCACACACGTCAGTTTGAGAGAAATGCAAGTAAAATTGAAACTCAACATTTAAAGGCAAAATTTACAATTGAAACAAAACAAGAAGCTAATAGGATTTTGTTGTCGCAATGCTGGGAAGTGCTTTACCACTGAGCTCAGAAGTGTGGCTCAGTGGTAGAGCATACACTTAACATGTGCAAAGCCCTGGATTAAAAAAAAGAACTCGAGATTTTGGAATGCTTGCATATATGTGAGATTTTGGGGATGGAACCCAAGTCTAAAGATGAAATTCATTTGTTTCATACACACCTTAAACAGCCTGCTGGGTAATTTTATACAATATTTTTAGTACACCTGCATTTTGACTACATGCCAGGTGTGGAATTTTCCATTTGCAGTGTCATGTCAGTGCACAAAAACTTTTGGATTAGGGAAACTGAACTTGTCTCACATGAGCATCAAGTTCCAACAAATGAACTTTAGGAAAACAACATTCAGATCTTGGCCATAAGCATTGTGTTTTGTTTTGTGACAGAAAAAAACTATACACAGGTGGTTATACTTCTGAGTTGAAACATTATCACAACCCTGTACAACTCCTAATAACTAACAAAGCAGATTGCACTATATACTACTGTCTTCTGACTCAGCATAATACTTTTGTAGGGACAAAATTATGTTGCTACTACATCTATTTTTTTTCCATTTTTTTTAATTGATTGTTCAAAACATTACAGAGCTCATGATATATCATCTTTCATACATTTGACTCAATTGGGTTTTGAACTCCCCAAATACATATTGCAGACTCACTTCTGTTACATACTCACATTTTTACATAATGGCATATTAGTGACTGTTGTATTCTGCTACCTTTCCTATCCCCTACTATCCCCCCTCCCCTCCCCTCCCATCTTCCCTCTGCCTCCTCTGCTGTTGTTCAATTCTCTCCCCTTTTTTCCCCCTCCCCCTTGCCCCTCATAACCTCTTATAATTTTGTGTATCACTGAAGGTCTCCTACCATTTCCATATGCTTTCCCTTCTCTCTCCCTTTCTCTCCCCCCATTCGTCTTAGTTTACTGTTAGTCTTTTCCTCATGCTCTTCCTTCCTGTTCTATTCTTAGTGGCTCTCTTTATAACAAAGAAGACATTTGACATTTGTTTTTTAGGGCTTGGCTAGCTTCACTTAGCATAATCTGCTCTAATGCCATCCATTTCCCTGCAAATTCTATGATTTTGTCATTTCTTGCTACTACATCTTTTTTTGACTCCTTTCTTACTTCAAGTGAAAGAACTTATTAAATTTCTAGATTCTATCCTGAAATAACTATGCCTTTGTTAACCAAATTTTTACATTCTTCTATTAGTTTTTTGAGACTATTTCCTTGAGTATTGAAGTAAGGCATCTAAAGATACACAAATAAACTTTTAGTTTATTACAAAATAAACCATCCCAAAAGTTTCTAGTAATTTGTTATTTTTACCAGCAGAAAATGAAATTTTCACCTTTTTGGAGCCAATTATAGTAACAAAACAGATATGCTAGATATAATTCCATCTGTTTGAGTTGGCGTCATCTGATTCCACCAGTCTCTCAAGAGCAGCCCTAGAGGTGATGGTAATGGCCTGTAGGTAACAATGGCTATTGAGAGAAACGACTGATTCAGGTTTGATGCTAATCTTTTCAGCCTGTATTATGACCAGAGGCTGAAGAGTTCCATGTTCCTAGGGCTCTGTTGGAATGCAAACTGTTTCTTAACTGGGGTAGAAAAGAACAGATTCAACCCATCAGTTGCTGCAGACCACAGACCTGGGCCCTTAACTGCTACAGCATTATTGCCACAGCCAATGTAGTGGTTGTGGTTTAGACTCTTGGTCAACAGTCACTCTCCAGGATCCTTCTGGACTCCGTAAAGGTGAGGCTGGCAAATTAAACAGCTGTGACAGGGACTGCCTTCAGTATCTTATAGATTTCTAAGGGTGGCAATTACCTCCACCATTACCCATAACTCTACCCCAGGATCCAATATTGCTTTTGTTTTTAGTAGTACTGGGGACTGAACCCAGGGCCTCACACATGCTGGGCTGGTGCTCTACCAACAAGCCTCACCCCCAGCCTCCTGTGACACTGTTTTGATCTACTGTCTTCCACTAGCTCTCAGCTGTCTGCCTTGTAAGTGACTGATCTAGGACCTAGAACATGTAGGCACTGCAGCAACAGGAGAGGAAAGCCCTGAAGAGGTGGGAAGGGTTGTCTGTGGGGTGGGAAGACAAAGGAAGTCCTGGAGCATGAACTCTGGTTTCTCCCTGAAGGACACAGCAGCGCAGAGAATTCCTATGTTCAGCAGTCAGCAAAGCGTCATTAAAAAAAGATGTTAACAAACTGACAATATTGGAAAATCATTATTTATTTGATGGATAACTTCTGAATTAATGTAAAGAAATGACAGTAACTTGTATTTACATTCATTCAAAACATTTTCATTAAGCACCAAGTAGAAAAGTTTCTGATCTTTTCACTAAAAACACTTTTATCATTGAAAGACTGCCTCAAACTTAGTTTATTTTGTGGGGGATGTGAGGGGAGGCAGGGATACCAAGGACTGAACTCAGGGGCATTCAAGCCACATCCCCAGCCCTATTTTGTATTTTGTTTAGAGACAAGATCTCACTGAATTGCTTAGCACCTGGCTTTTGCTGAGGCTGGCTTTGAACTTGCAATCCTCCTGCCTCAGCCTCCTGAGCCACTGGGATTACAGGTATGAGCCATCACACTGGGCGTTTATTTAGGTTTTTAATCAAGAAACCTAAAGCTGCCAATCAGAGCTTCTATCTGGCATGAGATGACCAGGTTAAAACCCCAAGAGTAAAAAATAACTTTAAAGTTTTGACTTATACACTCCAACCAAGGGGAGATACGCTGGCCTCAGGCTAGTCATCACAGGTTATAGGTCCACAAGCCAAGTATCATCTTCACAGGTCACAAACAAAATGAGTAATATGTACACACAAAGTGAATACAAAACACATGTTCCTGTATATTCCAGGGGAGTAATGCCCATTTCCCATGAGCATACAATGCAGCAAAGAGCACAAAAAAAGATACCATTCACTAACCCACAAGACAGTGGAAGGAATAAAAGCCCTGTGCTCTGGAATGGAGTGGAGGCTTTGTGGACCAGGTGGCATCCAGGCCACACCAGCAACATGAGTGGATATTGAGGCGCATGGGGAGGGATCTTCAGGGTTGGAAAGGACAAAATGAACCAAGACACAGCCACAGACCTACTGACTATTCAGAAGACAGAGGAGTGTTTATACTGGCTGAGGAATATAATCTAAGAGAATAGAAAACAGAGAATAGAAAACCTCTTCTGACAAGAGGGCAAAATACCTTCCCCACAGAGGATCCACATGCTCTCTGTGGAGGTGAAGGAGCTGGGGATCACTCTGCAGGTCACCTCCACCCCAAAGCCCTAGGCTCTTGGAATCAAATCCACTGAACAAGAACCTTCCTTCATGTAAACTGCCTTTTCTCCAAAAAGTAAAATAAAAACACAAGCAAACAAAATTCAAAAGAAAAAGAATCAGACCAAGCTTTGACCCCTTGTCCATCACTTGTGTCCCAGCTGTCATGCTAGGGAGACTGGGTCACACTGGTTCATCACTACAAGGCCTCTAGCATGTAGTGCTCCCAACACACCAAACATCACACAATACATACACTCACCCAAACAAAAGGCAGCATCAACTTAAGTATCTCTGCTAACTAGCATACTTGAACCCTTTTTTCTGACATATTTACAAAATATCTGCACTCTGTACTGCTATGGAAGCATTACAAATGTTGCATTAGATTCCTCTTCTTGAGGTAGTTCAAAGTCTTGAGATAGCAAATTTACATATTTTTCTGTACTACTATGGATGTGTAGTGATCATAAAAGACTAAAAACCAAATTCCTTCTCCCCTCATTCTAGGAGTACTTTAATTTTCCCCCTTGTTTCCTCATAACAAACTAACAACTGGGGGAAAAAAAAAACTATATATAAACTACATAAAATTTTAAAAATAAGCAAAAAGCCAAGAAAAAAAATCTGTGGAAAACTAATAGTCTAAACTTTGCTACAGACAAAACAAACAAAATGAAACCTCACTTTGTCTACCAAGCACTTTATAAAGTACTAAGTAATTAACAGCTCATAAAAATTGGGGAAATTTTTAGGTGGAGGTAAAATTAATACCAACTCATTCTCTAGCAAATAGCTGTTCTAAAATGCCACGTCCACACAGAGAGGTCTGGAGGAACTGTCTGCAGGACACTACCTTGTAGGCCAGACCTCTCTCAGGTCTGCTTCATAGGCGCAGGGATGTTGGCAGATGCCTGCTCCAGGTAGGCCAAGGAGCCCTGAGGGACCTCGGCCGGCTTTTTGTGCTGCACATTGATGTCCTCCAGCACCTGCTGCCAATGCCTCAGCTTTGTCAAGTGCTTCTGCACCAGCGCATCTTTCCGCTGCAACTCATTCCTTAGTTCTGAGACGTCCTACAGATGAAAGGGACGGAGTAAGTCAGAGGAAATGCAGGGGAAATAATAAAGTTCCTGATTAGTGAGGAGCACCAGGAAGCAAATTCAAAACCATTAAATCATATCAGCCCATTCCTCTACTTGGCTCCACAGTTTGACTAATCTAAAGTAACTCTTACAGTGAAGCTGACCACCTAATAACCAGAGCTTTTATTTTTAATCATCTTGTTAAGTAACAAAAGTCATAAAATTTAAAAAGCAACCCAGGGCTACTGTAAAAAAAAAAAAAAAATCGAATACTTTCTCATCCTGTTTCCCAGCCATCTAGCAGCCCTCCCTGTCCAAAGACTACAGCTGAGATTAGAAAATATTAAGGATGACAAACACATCAGCAATTGCTTGTAGGTATCCCCATCAAACCAGGTGCTGTGGTGCACATCTATAAACCCAGCTACCAGGGAGGCTGAGACAGGAATATCACAAGTTAGAGGTATACTGGGCAACTTAGCAAGACCCTGTCTCAATCTTAAAAAAAAAAAAAAAAAAAAAGGTGGGGAGCAAGGAGGCAGGGATATAGCTCAGTAATCCCCAGTGGCACAAAAAAGAATCCATATCACTGTCTGTAATTTCAGATTACAAAATATTAAAATTGCAGATTCAAGAGATTTTTACAAACACCAGCATTAAATCTTTTATTAAGACCTAGACTTAACCACACCTGCATTGTTATTCAAGTATTTTTATCAGGAAACAAGTTAGCACAATAGACTATTAAGAATGTCATCATCTTATAATTCTCCCTCTCAACAGCTAGTATCGTAACAAAAAAGAACCTTTCTGATTAACTGGTCAGCTTCTAGGAGATACTTTTTTAAAACTATCAAAACCTGATAACTTCATTTTAGTGTTTCTCACCGGGAGCACCAAGGGCCGAGTTAGGGTGGGAGGATTCCTCAATCCTTCACAATGAGGAGACAGGTCCTGGTCGGATCATTCATTGTCATTAAAGCTTCCTAGTCTTTGAGGCAACCCCAACGTATTTCCAAATGCCCCCATCTAGAATCACTAAGACCCACCAAAATCCTAAGTTTTAAAGAACTCTGCAGATCATTTACTTTTTGGTTCTATGTGTGAGGCATAGGGCAAGACAAATGTTCACAGTGTCTGTCCAAAATGGGTCTCTATCTATATTAATGGCTTTTCACAAGGCAGAACTTTCTCTTTAAGAAAACATTTACTAAAAAAAAAAAAAAAAAAAAAAGAAAGAAAGAAAAATATACTGTGAAAGCCAGTGTGTGAAAGAAGTAGGCAGAGCTACTCTAAAGATATGCTCTCCACTCCTACTCCTGGAGGCCCTTTCAGTCCAGGATGTCATAAATGGTGACAACCAGCACCATTTCATATTGATCTATAAAATACAATTCACAGGTGTGTTTCACATTAAAGCATAGATGGACCCATAAGACAAAGTGTTCTTCCTAAAAGTTGAGGAAAAATTGAATTTGTACCTCTTTGATAACTTGCTCAGGTTTCTGAACAGACAACTGCAATCTTTTTTGTAGAAAAAAGCATTCTGTCTGTCTTGCAATATCCAGAAACTTCTGGATACACTGATCAACACCTTAAAAAAAAAAAAAAAAGAAAAAGAAAAACATTTAAACATATATATCTTTCACATAAATAGTCACATACATTTAAAAAGCCCCTTCTTCTAGATGTAATCTGGGATTTTAATCTTAGCCGTAGCAATATTAACTTAAAACTTCCCAGGTGTTAAGCAATATTAAATAGCAGATAATTTGTAAGGTGGGTGAGGCAGTATGTGCCTGTAATCCCAGCAGGGAGGCTGAGACAAGAGGAGGACATGAATTTCAAGGCTAGTCTAGGCAACCCAGTGAGACACTGTCTCAAAATTAAAAATAAAAAGGGCTGGGGATGTAGTTCAGTGCTAGAGCACCAATACTAGGGAAAAAAAATTTTAAAAAATATAATTTGTGCTTTTATCAGGAGAAAAAGAAACATTACACCATATGAATGCCATGAGGACTTCTAATTAAGAATATGGAGATTCAGGGATCATCATGATTTCTAGTTAAAACCGAACATTTAAAATATGGTACCAAAAACTCAGAACTGACTCTTCTGGAGACACAACACTGGGGTGAAGGACAAACATAAAAAAGATTTTTTCTCTGTAGCACCTGTTCAAAAGATAATATCAATCTAGTTAGAAGTGGTGGCACACTTCCAGCAACTAGGGAAACTGAGTCAGGAGGACTGCAAGTTTAGGGCCAGTCTTGTCAACTAAGCAAGACCCTATTTCAAAATAAAAGTATGGGTAAGTAGTTCAGTGGTAGAGCACTACTGGGTTCAATCCCAAATACCAAATACCAAATATCAGGGAGGGAAAAAATAAAAGATAATCACAACTTGTGGACTTTTAAAAGAAGCAATTCACAATTAATATTCTTTTCCTGGTACCAATATGAAAAGGTCATCAAAAATGGTTCATTCTTGGGCTGGGGATGTGGTTCAAGCAGTAGAGCGCTTGCCTGGCATGCGCTGGGTGCTGGGTTGGATCCTCAATACCACATAAAAATAAAAAATAAATATATTGTGTCCACATAAAACTTATGTGTCATTCTTAGTGACACACATCTCAGTTAATAAAAAAAAAAAAAAAAACCCTCAGCAGTTTATAAGGACTATCTGTATATATCTTATTCCCCAGAATAGTTCTCTTAGGATATACACAGGACTGAAACAGACGAAGTGTAAAATCAGCAATAAGGAATCTTGCTGAAGGCAGGAACACTGTCTACAAAGAGGGAATTCTTACCAGTTCGAATTTCTTCCTGATCGGTGCCATTGACATAATCCTGACTCACGAGAGAAGCAAAGCAAGCCTGGGATCAAAACATCAGAAAAGAAAAAGATGGCATCTGCACACCAAAAAAATCTTACTTCTGAGTAAGACATAACTTCTTCTTTGGTCATTCAACGAGTTGGTGCACATGCGACGACAATATATGCCAATGAAGATACTTTCCTACCACCCGCATTCTGAGCTTCAGTTTCTCCACCAATAAAACAAAGCAATGGAACTCCACGGTCTCCCAGGTTCCCTCCCACATCCACAGGGCAGGATCTCAATAAACCCCTTGCACCCTGGGGAGAGCCACAGATCTCATGGGACGGCACCCAAATAGAAAAGGGAGGCCGGCAAGCAGGTGCCTCTGGGAGGGTTAGGTCACAAGGAAAAAGGAAAAGTTCCAAAGAAATCGTGACCTTAAAACTGAGTCTTGAGAGAAAACGGGGGCAGTGTAAGAGGGGAGCTCCTGACACGGAGATGGGGGCAGCCCGCGGGAGCCTGGAAGGGTCCGTGCTTGGTCCCTGGCAAAATTTTAAGGCGACATGCCTTCGCCAGCCGAGCAGAGTACCGGCCACCCTCACAGCGTGGGCTCAGCAGGTGACTCACGATCTACGAGCCTAACTTCCCATCTACGAGCCTAACTTTCCAACTGGGTGTTGCGACGGAGGAATGAAATATCGGCCGACGCGCAGCTCGCATTTTGAGGGACGGAGGGAGGGCTGGGGACGAAGACTCCAAGTCTCGGCTTACCTCGAACGACGACTCCAGCTCGTCCACCAAGGTGCTGCTAGAAGTCCTCGGCGCGCCAGGCGCTGCCTGAAGAAGCGAAGCCTGGCCCGGGAGTCCCGGCGGGGGGTGCGGGGGGCCCGGCGGCTGCCCGGAGAACATGCCCCCCAGCGGGGCCGCCATGTCTGCGGTGGCGGGTCGCCGCCCACTGCGCCTGCGCGGAGCGGCTCCGGCCACTGGCCGCGCGTGGCCACGTGACAGGGCGGCCGCTGGGGCGTGTGGGGTTGGGCGCGGGGAAACTGGATGCTCCGTTCTCCAGTTTGGGGCTCTTTCCCGCTGCCGCGGGTGACGCCTTGCTTTTCCTTGTCTTTGTTAAGTTTGTTGCAGAAAGCTCTGCCCTTGTCCCTGAGAGCAAGCCAATAAGAAGGACATGGTTTTGACAAAAAGGCTTATTACTCTGTTAGCAAAGGCTGGGATTCTGCCCATCAGTAGGAACAGGGGACTTTTAAAGAGGTGATTCAGAGAAAATTAGATTAGGAAGGAGAAGATCAGCGAGGAGAAGATCAGGGAGGAGAAGTCCAGGGGAAAAGTGGGGAAAGTTAGGGAAAAGAAGATCAGGGAGAAGAAGAAGGTTGGAAAAAAAAAAAAACGCAAGGGATTCAGAAGCCACAGGGGAAATAGTCAAAGCATCAAGTGAACCCGTTACAAGTACAAGGTGAAAATGGATGGCTAACCGTTGTACGGAGAGAGAATTAGTAACCGCGGTGGAGCAGCCCGCGGGTGAGCTCGAGTTCCCTGTGGGACCCTGAGACCTGAGCCGAGGGACTTGGGCCGAGTCACGTTCCTTCTCCCTCCCAGCTCAGTTTGCCCCTAGGTAGAAGGAGTCACCCCTGCACTCCCAGCAGTTACCGAGAGTTCACTGTCCCGGGTGCTCATCCAGTCGTGGGTTATAGCGGGAATGAGTCAGGTAAGAGAAGCCACTGCCACTGTGGAGGCTACCTGTGTGCCTGGCATTGTTTTGGGGTGGCTTCGTAGAGGAAGTCACCGTGATAATCTCCACAATTGCTTTTTGACTCGTTTATTATTTATTTCAAAAGCCTTCATTTTGGTTACCATGGAACACACAGAACTCTCCGTGTCTCAGGCACTATTTTATGATCTAAGGGTTACAGCAATCACCCCAAATTTCTGGAGAAGAGAAACACGTAAAAAAA